CTTGATAGACAAAGGCACCATAATAATATGTATACATGAAGTCCTCATCCATCGTCTGTGTCATATGAGACATGTTGAAGAAATGAACACAAACGTTTTGCCCCCCTCTTTATATATTATAACATCGCACGCCGACTAACTCGGTGACGGGTCGGCAAGATGGTCAGCATGGTCGGTGAGTTTGTCGGTGTGTGAAATTTTACTCGGCCGCTACGTTTCTTGGCTCTGCAAGCGGCCAGGATTCAAACTATTTGCTCGGCAAGACGCTCGGCGAGATGCTCGACGTCCTAAATTATTGCTATGCGAGCGTCTCTCTCTGAGTGCTCGTCGATACAATAATGTCAACAACAGTCTTGGCCAGATGCTCGTCGCGATTAAACCCGAATTTGGCATTGCCTTGTCGGGAATTGCTCGTGGACTCTGCTCCTGTATGTGTGAACACCGCATAAGAAACAGAGTAACAGCTCCTAAATAGAAACATTAAAAAGACATCTCTAACGTTGGTGAATGCAACAAAGTCGCTGTAGTAACACAAGCATTATCAGCCAGACATGATGAGTAACTGGCTCGTCTGTGACATTTCATCTAAAGGGATGAGAACTTTGAACTTTACACAGAGCCCGTTACCCATGACAGCTCAGGCAGCGACGCGCGAATGGGATGACATTCTGTTTTTTTGTGTTCAACGCATTCTTACGACACGTTATTCTGTGTGGCTGTCATAATTGACTGAGGCAACCAGGCAGGCTAAATGTGACACCAGAGCAGGAAAAAGAGATAAAGTTCTTATCAGCTTTAGGTGAAAGTTCTTTTTCTATGGGTATGCTCTAAAAGACTGTTCTTAACAGCCGTTTACCTCAGACTTTACAATTTTGACCTTCTGGAGGAGGCGTTAACCGCTAAGGGAATAACGTTGACTGCTCTTTATAGCGTTTGGGGGTGTTGTCAGGGCTGTTGTTGTTGTTGGTGTTGTTGTTGTTGTTGTTGTTGTTGTTGTTGTTATTGGTGGTGGTGGTGGTGGTGGTGGTGGTGATGGTGGTGTTGGTGGTGTTGTTGGTGGTGTTGTACACTCTCAGCATCTTAAACGACATGATACAGGTTACTTTGAAGTTGAAGTTATTTTGTAAGTAAATTACAGTTCAGGAAGAACGAGAGCAACCGGGCCTTGTCAATACAAATCATGAACTTCCACTTTTTGGCTGAGATCTCAATGCTTGAAAACTTTGCCGACAGGTCAACACGCAGACGAACACAAGAAGAAACTTCATGGGCAAAAAAAAAAGTATAATTTGCAAAGTGACACCGTGATTTAAAACCCGTAACAATGTCATTACTACCTCAAAATAACGGTGTTTTTGAATATTTAACTGTTAGTCACCTTTGTACCAACGACTTGTCGGGGAACTCGAAGTTATTCCTAATAAATTACCATCCAGTGTCCAGTAAGGCTTTAGATTCCAATAATGCAGTGCAGTCAACTCAGTTGGTGCTATGCTGGCTATGGTGCTGTTGCCCCTCGTGCGTTTTCTTTTGTTGTTTTTTGGGGTTTTTTTGGGTAAGAGTTCTGCAGCACTTGCAACACACTTATGTCATATTATAAGTGCCGAAGATTAAAGGTGTTACAAGAGAGTAACTAACCCAAAAAGGAGGAGGGATAAGGACAATAGATGTTTGATAAGAAGAAGGAGCAAAGCACAGCAGAGCACCCGGCAACCACCCACTGACCCTCGTTCGAATATCTCTATGGGTATTCCTAAACCTCGGTTGTTGGGGGGAGTTCTTAAGTGTCTCTCCATCGGCTTGCCCCTGATCTTATCGAAGATTGTCTTTTAAATCAGAAGCCACGTCTCCGAAATAACCCATGAACGCAAAAAGGAACGATAAATCCATACCTAATCTAAAATCCCACAGCACACAAAGAACTCAACAAAATTTCAATTTCTCACATTTATGTTTGTTTGTTTTCTTTGAGTAAAAAGAAGCACAAGGACAAAATAATGATCATTAAGAGCTTGGAACAAGTAAGACAGACAGACAGAAACAACATATCTAAAGTAAAGAAGTGTGGCCTTTCAGTGGTGCCCTTCAACTACCCACTTCCCCATTTAGGGAGTTTGATAATAATATTCTTATGCTTAAAAATTAGAACAAAAACAAAACATCTTCTAGATATCTATCTTATATTTTAAATGCTTTCAATTTAAAAAACAAAACCCAAAAAAAACCAAAAAACCCACATCTTTTATTCGCCCTTCCCAGTTCTGTGGTGCTGCATGCCATGCAGTATGTACTCACCCTCGATCTGGTCCGCTGACAGCTGGGACACCTGTGAAACAAGAAGAACATCATGAGAGATCGATAAACGTTGATTGAAAATATTGATCAACGGGTCAGGCAGGGAGCTGTTGCCAGCGGGGGGAGAGAAGAGAGATCGCAGCGATCAAAAGCGCAGCACCTGTATACAGAATGCTCCAAGTGACACAGATTGGGGGCGGAGGCATGGAGAGAGACGGACGGAGTCAGCACGCAAAGCTTTGTGCGCTGCTAGCTCTAGCAATAACGAGGTGGCGGCGTAGGGGTCTGATGCAAGAGAGCGCTCGGTGCTGGGGGGTTTTTTGGTGCTGTTTTTGTTGTTGTTAAAAAAAAAAATCCAGTTTTATTCTAGCTTGTGGGGGTGGATGGCTGGTCCTATGTTTTATTTTTACTGTTTCTGTCTGTCTGTCTGTTTGTTTGTCTGTCTGTCTGTCTGTCTGTCTGTCTGACTTTTTCCTGAACTAAATAGCTGTTATTTTTCTGCGTCAATGTACTTCTATTTGTTTAAACTTAAAAGTTTATTTTGTATGGCATGATAACACCCCGCCCCCTCCCTCCCACACACACTCACACTGCTTCTGTAGACGTTATTTCTTCACCATCGACACAGTTAAGATCATTTAGGAAGCAGGCTGCTTCGAGCCTGTTTGTCAGAACGATCCCGAGTTGAGAGGAATACAACAACCCAACAGAAAAGCGGATATACTTGATATAAATTCTCACCATTCTGGAATCGAACTAACTTCTTCTGCGTGCGAAAGCAAAGCCCCTATACCACTATACCTCAGATACCGGGGCACTCACACTCAAAAACAAATAAAAATAGAACAACCGCAAACAAATTGCTAAGGATGATCGTTTAGGACACCTCAAAGTACAATTGAAATTTCGTACGTCGTGTTTTACTATCGTAACAATACGACGTGGGGAACTCTGTGCCACCACTTTCCGAAGAGGAAATGTACTCGTTAATCTGATCCGTACGCTTTGCATAGCACAAAATAGTATTAATATTATTACGCCCTCATGGCGGTTTAAATGATAACTTTTATTTTGAACTTTGGGTGATTTTAGCAGCAAGTGAAGTAGATGTGGGTCTAAAATATTACTAAATGGATTATTAGATCTCAATTTATGGACGCCTCCGCACACTTTTCTTTCGTGTTCGTAGAGTCAATAAGATGAACAGTGTGACCAAATATTTGAGGTATTAATTTCATTCAACAATAGTTAATTTTAAGGTTTCCATACTTTTCGCCTGTCTAGTACCTAAATCTAGTCTATTCTAAACGTACTTCTTACTCTCTCCCCATACCGTCAGGTACATAAGGCGGAGAGTAGTCGACGCCACACTTGTCTGTCCCTGGCCATGTCCTCCAATTTCGGCAAATTCAGGCCCTGTGTGATTGCCCCATGCCTTATTGTGCCTCTATACCTTCCAGTTGGTCTTCCTCGTTTTCTTTTTCCAGTTGGTTTCTAATACCATGTCTGATAGGGCAAATTTGTCTTCCTATTCTAAACCAAGCCCGAAGATTGTATGGAGATTTATGAGTACAACGTGTGTGTTGTCATGCAGTACACAAAAAGCTACTAAGACTTCTAAGCACCAAGGCAAGATTACTAATGACTAACAGTTACAAATTGTTGGCTTTTGTCGTGCTTCGTATTTGAGAGGAAGGAGGGACCGTATTCCACTTTTAATCAAAATTTAATTGGTCTTGAGAGGCTATAGTATAATGTTGTGGTGGATACAACTTCTAGTGGGGGATGG